CCAAAGCATTAGCTAGGTTTGACAAAAGTTCAAAGGTCACCATTTGTCAACCTATCACGACCGCAATTCCCACAAGCGCCACCAACTGCTGTCCTCAGGAGGGGGTCTCCCTCCGGACTCCGGACTCACTCACGGGATACGACTGGGCAAGCACTCGTTTCCAAAGAACCGGCTTTATTACTTAGTAACGTCCAAATAAAAGAAGGAAGAGAGATGAGGACGATAGAAGTTTGAAATGAAAGAAATGTAAGCAAACCCTACCAGAGCAAGCGCCAACCACCCACAAATCGTTTGTTTAGTTTTCGTAGAGGTTATACGGAGCTCGTAACTGCATAAGGTCATATGAACACCAAACGATGGGTGTTCACAGAGAAGTCCAAAAAGGGAAATCAGGCTTACTCTGCTCACCTCTCTAGCCTCAACAGCCCAAAATCTGCTTCGACTACCAAGGCACCCTGGAAATAGCAGTTCACACGAAAGTGACAAACATACAAAAAAGTAGAGGAAAAATGACGATAGTAAGGATAAGGAAAGAAAAGGCAGCAGTTCGCCTAATCTTGTTCCGGCACAGCATTAGCATGAAATTGATAAATCAGCCCATTTACAATTCTACTGTGCATAAGAACACGTTAATATTCCCCTTTGGGAATGGCCTAAAGGCAACTTCAATCAGTAGCACTGTCCTGGTGGGAGGGAGGGGGGCACAAATCGGATTTGGGTACAGGTGAAACTAAATGATAATTATAATCATATTGTTAACTACTCGATCCACATTGACGAGAACAAAACGACACTGGTGAAAAAATTGCGAAATGGTATAGGTTTAACGGCCCGATCAACACTGTAAAGTAACTTAAGAGGCGGGACGTTCGAGTTTAACGTCCATCTCCGAAAGGTCTGAGCCAAAGTGGGAAATTCGTGCAAAGTGCCTTTCAAAAGGACACCACGTACGTCGAACCGAGCTGAGGTTCAAAATCCCGAACGCGGAATCTTACGATTACGAGTCCGGTAGCCTAACCACTAGGCTTCCGGCGCCATCCAAAACGACATTGGAGTTTGGAGCAATTACAGGTTCTATGGTTGGATAAAGAGAAGTACATGGACACAATACCTTTTGTCGTTGTTGGGTTTTTGTGTTGTTGTTGTTGTTTTTTTAGGGGGCGGGGCTTGTTTGTTAGTTTGTTTTATTTTGTTTAAATAAGCGTTTTACGACACTTACAATACAATAACGCTCATATGAGAATGAGTGCTGAACATCGGAGTTGTTACAACAGAATAACATGACAGTACAAAAAAGGAGGAACGGTAATGACGATAACAGACCATACCAGAGCACCCGCCAATCACCAGACGTGTACTTCAGTAGAACAAAGAGAACACATGCCCCCCCTACCCCCAGCCGCTTTCTGAAAACATAATTTAGAGAGGATGCTCTCACCCTGAGAAACCATTCCATGAAATGAAGAATAAAACACGGCGTTGCTAACCCCAGGATCGGTACCAAAATAAGAATTTCTATTTCTAGAAACTATCCGGTTGACCGAACCTATACGTGGCCCAGCCCCCGCTCCCAGGGTCAGAAGACTCCAGCAGGCTGACAAATGCAGCACTTGTTGCCGGCGTTGATGTTGTCGCTATCATAGCCAGCGGGGAAAGAACCCGGGTCCCCCGAGGTAAATGTCACAAACATAGAGCCGACAGCAACCGTTTATAACGGCCACTTAGCCTGTCAGGGACGTCTGTTCCACGTCCAATCCAACTGACGGGTCTGGGACCGGGAGTCGATTTCACGCACAGCACGTCATGGAGCTGACCTCTTAGTCACAAAAGAGCAGCGCTGGTCGCTGTTAATGTTGTGTTCCTTTCCAGATATATACATAATATATTGTTTTGTTATTTTGTTATTGTTGTTAG